CCCGTATCCCAGTGAGTATCTGGCTTAACGGGATACCTCCAGTTGTAAATGGCATCCCTTTCAAGTCAGCATTTGCACTACAGTGAGTTACTAAGCCAAGAAAGGTTTCCAAACAATGTTTTTAAAACTTGCATGTCCGAAACTCCGAAACCAACCTTTGTTGTTTTCTCTATGGTTTTTCTATGTTTTCTCAGGTTTTTTCCTATACGGCTGGCCATGTTTTCTCCATGTTTTCCCCATGTGTTTTTCCCCATGGCGATCGATGAAGTGACCAGGATCCCAGTCCGAGAGATCACGGAAGTGGACGAGTACAGCCGAGAAGCCAAGGACGACGTGACCTTTCGGTCACTGGGCCCGGGTTTCAAACCATGGACCGAAAAAAAAACTGGTTGGTGGTTTGGAACATTTTTGTTTTTCCAAATATTGGGAATAATCATCCCTATGAATGAGTATTTTCTTAATTTTATGGGTACATGAATGGTATACTGGTATATGAATAGGTATTTAAAAATCTCTGCCCATGGGTATATGACCATATATATATAATTACATATCCATATATGACCTATCTATAAAGATGGGTGTTTCATGGTATATTACCATCAATCACCTTAACTTTGACATAACATGGGTTAGTTGTTTTGCTACTACATAAAACATGATACACTGTTTAGATGGGTTATGTCAGATATATTAGTTTTGTCAGATGTATTGTTTTTGATAATATTATATCGTTAACTAATATTGCTATGAATATGATATATTGTACCATAATTACTATAACTATCATTGATTTAATATTTGATATAATCATTAATATTAACAGTATCATTGTACCATTGATATAATCATTGATATGAATATTACTGTATATCATTGTTTTTCTAATATTACTAAATAGTACTGATATGTTCTATAATCGTTTTTCTAATAGTACTATAATTCTTAATATATTAATATTACTATTACTATTAACATCATTGTTGTTTTAATCATTAATATTAATATTACTATATCAATGGTCGTTACTGTACATTGGTATATACTGTTAATGGTACCATTGGTACTATATCAATACTATTTGTCAATATTGATATTAATATTATATATACACAATAGTAACAGTGTTTTTTCTACAATAGTAATATTACTAGTAGTATTGCGATATTAGTATTACTAAATATCATTGATATAATCATTAGTATCATTAACATTACTAATATATCATTAATCATAGTACTATCTATTTTTACTGTTAATATAATAATATTATAATATAATAATATTACTATCATAGTACTGATATGTTCTACTGTGGTTAATATTACTATATATTATTTCTATTAATTGATATTTCTATCATAGTACTATTCAAATATATAGTCATAATGTACTGAAATATAGTTAACAGGGTAGCCCCCCAAAATATAATTATTACTGTATATACAATATATTACTATCATAGTACTATCATTACTCATATTACGATGATTAATCATAGTACTGATATATAATATAATATATAATAGTACATGATTATTATAACTATCATTGATATAATATTTGATATAATCATTAATATTAACAGTATCATTGTACCATTGATATAATCATTAATCATTGATATGGATATTACTGTATATCATTGTTTTTCTAATATTACTAAATAGTACTGATATGTTCTACAATAGTACAGTAATATCATATATATATAGTACTGTTTATATAATAATTCATAGTACTGATATATAATATAATATAAGTACTATGATTATATATATTATATCATATATTACTGTTTGTTTTAACAAAACAACCGGGGAAACACCGCCTGTTTTAACGCCAGGAGTTGATCATGCTGCGACATCGTCACATCGTCTCCTATGAGGCGCGCCTAGAGTCCAGAGCCGCGTTTGACCACGGGGAAAACCATGGGAAAACCATTGGAAAATGGTGAAAACCATAAGAAAACCATGGGACAACCATAGGAAAATGGTGAAAACCATAGGAAAATGGTGAAAACCATGGGAAAACCATAGGAAAATGGTGATTTAACCTTGTTTTTTCACCAAAAAAGATGGGGATTGAATGGGATGTATGGCTGGATTTATGGCTAAATTGGTGCCAATCACTCCTATATCTATGTTTTATGAGACTTGCAAGTATAATAAGTAATCGAGTTGGTAAACCAACAAGCACAACTGGGGGGCACCACATAGTTGAATCAGCCAATCCAATTGTGGGGATAGAATGGGATATACACATATATTAGTATATCTTATTATATCTTATATAGTATATCCTACTATCCTACTGTATCAGGGTATTAACCATATATCCTTCAATGTGAGGCCCCCCAGTTGTAAGTTGGTTTAGATTCGCCCCAGTAACTAGTTCGTTATTTAGGTACCATAAACCATAGTTATTGGAGTTATTGGCACCAACTTAGCCATCGAACGGGGGCCTCACATTGTAGTTCATAATGGGATATGATGGGATTGTTTATTCCAAAAATGACCCAAATGTGGGTCATTTTTCGCAGGTGTGTCTGAAATTGTGGTATACCATCCAGATACCATCTGAATGGGGAAAAATAATTAAAACCCGTAGGATCTGGGGGGTGGTAGCCTATCTTCAGTCAAACCATCCTCTAGTAAAGTTATGTTTAGTGGAAACTAATCTTGCAACCCCGCATTTGCTAGGTTACCCTCTGGTAATTTAACATAGCTATTGAAAATGGCCATTTATAGTTGATTTTCCCATTAAAAATTGTGATTTTCCATAGTTATGTTAGTTTACCAGAGGGTAATATTAGTTTGGGGGATGGTATGTACGATAACAAATCTCACACAGAATGAATTCTGAACCAGTCCATATATAGTTCCTGATCTTGACAGCACGAACCCTCTTGTTTGACTTATACTCCCCATTTTGCTGGCTATATTTCTTCACATGGACACAACTAGCTAAATCATCAAAGTTTTGGTATCCCAAATATATCAGGATATATGTCAGAATACACTTCAGGATTTCTCCAGCTGGATATATGTCGAAAAACAATGGAAAAGATATGTTAGCATTTGATTTCGCGGGAGGGATCACAGCGCCATTTCAGGAACTTGGATTTGTTGGACGCTTATTTGTCGCTCAATTTGGGGAAATTTACCCATGTTTTTGAAATCATCATGTTGCTATGGTTTCATCAACTTAGCGGTTGAACCATGTTAAATCACCATTTTCCTCCGGTTTTCCTATGGTTTTCACCATTTTCCTATGGTTTTCCGATGGTTTTGAAGCACCATTTTCGTGCCAGGAAGACTTTGTCCACGTGGAGTATGGAGGCCTTGAGCCCAAGACGTGCGCAGTCAGTCCATGGCGTGATTTCCACGATGGTCCGGGTATGGGATGATCCTGTAAGGATTGTGCAGATTGCCACATTGTTCAGTTGGTGCGTTTATAACTTCAATTTCACTATGGTTTATGGTAGATAGATATATATATATATATATCTAACTAATGGGTTATAAACCCACCTATAAGTTGGTTTATGTTCACCCCATGAATACTAGATCAATATATCTACCATTAAACCATAGTTATTGATATTTTATGTTACTCATTTAAAACCCATAGATATGTTATAGAACCATTTCATTTCACTATGGTTTATGTTCACCCCATGAATACTAGTTCTTTCTATATCTACCATAAACCATAGTGAAATTGAAGTTATAAACGCACCAACTGAACGGGATTCCGAACTGGGGCACCACATTCTACAAAGTTCATGGTGATATGTTTATGATATTTCATGGAGATGTCTAGGGATTTTTTTTAGCCAACAACAAGAGATTGGGTTATTTCAGGGTGTATCTAAACATGGGGAAAAAAACCCTCTGAAAAAAACCCTCAGATGTCTTCCGCCATCTGCGGAAGTGATGATCATCACCATCATTTTTTTGGGGAATCTCGAGACGAAGCCATATGGCATATGTGGTACCACATCACCGCCATAGTTTTTTGGGACGGAATACCAACCCGGTTGATTGATCTATTGTAGATGAAGTCACTGTTTTTGGTTTACATATATAATCATTATATAATTTAATTAATCATATATAGTCATATATGTATATATAATCACGTATAAGCATATATGATCATACAATATATATAATCATGTATAGTCATATTTGATCATATATAATCATTGATATAAAGTGGATTATTTAGCTCATATATGAAATAGTCATTGATTATATATGATCATATATTTGACAATACCTAGTTTATATTAATCATATATCTGGAAATCAATGTATAATCATTGAAATTCTTACTGGTGCTTAGTAGGGAATGGATGGGAATGGGGGTTGCTGGGATAATTATTGATAGTTAGCCAGTGGATCATTCCCTCATTCCCTACTAAGCACAAGTAAGAATTTAGCTCTTTTTCTCTGGTCTATATTCCAGCCATATTCTTCGGAATTGACGAGCTGACCGTTGTTCATATCCAGCTCCTCCACCCACGGGTAACGTGAGGCCCCGGTTTACCTAGGAGAATGGCGATTGAACCACCAAACATTTGAGGATTTTAATGAGATTTACAGCTGAATTATGATCAGTTGGTGCCAATAAACTCGAATTTCACTATGGCTTATGGATGTTTATGGTGTAGAAAAATCAATCGTTTTCATGGGGATTAGAAGAATTTTAATCTTGGGAGGCCAACCTTGTATCCATTGAACCAGCTGATTTTGGAATTCATGACTGCTGTGGTTTTTTTCTTCAACCAATCTGGTGATCAACCTATTATCATCATGGTTTCGACCTAAATTTACCATAGATATATTCCCTTTTGGTGCTACATACGTATATACATATATTGTAATATATATATATATATTTATATATATATATTTATATATATATATGAATCTATTGATCATTTTCTTCCACCCATCTATTGAAGGTGGTTTGTCTGCTTAACTTTCGGTTCCAGCAGCAGCCGCCCCGATTGGTGCCGTGACAAAAACGGCCCGGTTTTGGTTCCAATGTCGCTGCTGGGGCCCCAACGGTCAAGGACCGTGGCGAAGTCATTTCTGCGTCTCACCATGTCCCCCAGAAGTTTGGATGTAGCCCCTACAATGGGATATACCCTCTGGTAGACTATGATATGGAAAATCAATGAACATCACCATTGTTCTAAATCATCTATAAATGGTTAATTTTCCGAAATTTACAATGTGGTGCCCCAGTTCGTTAGCTAAGTTGGTGCCAATAACTTCAATTTCACTTTGGTTTATGGTAGATATATCGAACTAGTTAATGGGGTTTATAAACCAATTTAAAACGTTTGGGGGCCCCACATTGTATAATCATGACATATTGTGGATGGTTGCGAAATCCTGCACCAGTTGGTAGATGGGAAAAATCCCATTATTTATAGGGTTTCAACCATCCTTGTGGTGGTGCAGGATTTCTTCCATCCACAGTAGCACCAAGTAGGGGTTTGTATCCTATCGAACAGTCGAACAGTAGACATGGCTAGTTCACCCTGACATGGCTAGTTCACCCTCCATGATCAAGGGCTGCAATACCCATTTGCTGGATCCATATGTGCGCAAATCTTCTGTCTTTAAAGGGTGTACTTAAAAAACGAACAGAGAAATCAACATTCAAGTACCCTCTGGTGAACTAACATAGCAATTGAAAATGGCCATTTATAGTGGATTTTCCCATTAAAAATGGTGATTCTCCATTGCTATGTTAGTTCACCAGAGGGTACTACCTTTGATTTTGAACAGGGTCCGGTTTACAGGGAAATTGTGACCAGCTCCATGATTGACTGGTCCTTGTGTTTATGAAAGACCAACATCATCATATGGGGATCAGCCAACAGCAGATATGAGTCGCAATCCAACCAACAAAGGTGGGGTTATATATATATATATATACATATATATATATATTATGATTACATATAAGGGTTGATATGTCAATGTATATCAAGCAAACCATCAACCATCTATACTTGGTGGCTCATCCCACTTAGTAAGTGGGTTATAACCCTGGTTCTTTTTGTGGGATAAGTAGGGTTAGTTCACTCAAAAAATTGGGGGTGAACCAGTCCACTGAGTGGTTTGAGCCACCACTTAACATGATACATAGTAATAAGGACATACATATACATATATATTATATATACATATATACATGTAAGGGTTGATATGTCAACATATATCAAGCAATAATCAACCATCTATACTGGTTGGTGGTTTCAAATATGTTTTATTGTCCATTTCAGATATGGGATAATCCTTCCCATTGACTTTCATATTTTTGAAGATGGTTATTGCACCACCAACCAGATAAACATGATTATATATACCATTTATAAGCATAGGGCCATAGGGATTATATCCCAACCTATGGGTGTAACCATTTTCCAGATTTTTGTTTCATCTGTTTCATTCAATGGATTGGTTTAAGGGAAAATTTACACCGGAAACCAGAGTTATTTTCCCATTAAATATGAGGCTTTCCGGTTCCAATTTTCCCTTAATCCAATCCATTGTTTCATCTGGTTCTCACCCACTCTTCAACCGATCTCTGGGCCTAGGCCCACCCCGGAGGGCTTCAAGACGGAGGCGGGCGAATGGACGGAGGAGGCCAAGGAGCGATTCTTTGGCGCCAAGAACGAGGAGGCGAAAAGCCCGGTCGCCGCATCCTAGGGAAACCATGGGAAAACCATAGGAAAATGGTGAAAACCATGGGAAAACCATAGGAAAATGGTGATTTAACCATGGAAAAATTGATTTTTGTTGGGATTGATAGCTGATTTTTGACATATCATGAAATATATGGAAGATTCATGAGAATTATGGGATGATTATGAGAATCCTTCGTGAAATGCTGGTTGATACATGATTTTTTAGGAGATTTTACTATCCATCACCAACAATGAAGCAGGGATCCCACTTCTTGCAGTTATTTTTTTTCAAAGGCGGAAACCCGCGGGATTTGGTTGAACTAACTTGCTGAATTCTAGGTTTCATAGAGTATATATCATTATATAACTGATTGGTAGTTTGGAACATGTTTTATTTTTCTATTCAGTTGGGAATAATCATCCCAACTGACGATTTGTCATCATTTTTTAGAGGGGTAGGTATACCAACCACCAACCAGATTATTATCAACCATCATGAACCATCATCATTAACCATCATCTTAACCATTATTAACAGTATATTAACAGTATATTCCGATGAACTCACCACGGAAATCCTTCCGGTTTCCACGGCGTGTTTCGGGCATCGTGGCCTCTTCAGAGGCCATGAAGAAGTGGGCCGATGGACAGTGGCTCGGTGAGTCCGTGGGGAAAAACCCATGGTTTTGCTATGGAAAACCACCATGTTTTAGTGTAGATCATGGGAAAAATGATGGGAAAACCCATGGGAAAATGGTGGTTTATATAGAAATTCACCATTTTTTATGGGTAAATCAACATAAATCAATGGGAATTCCCTCATGTATCAATGATTATATGTTTGTTGGTGCCAATACCCTCTGGTAAACGTTTACATAACTATAGAAAATCACCATTTTCAATGGGTAAATCAACTATTTCTATGGGCATTTTTTGATAGCTATGTTAAATTACCAGAGGGTATATACAGTAACCAAACCATAGATAGAAAAGTTGGAACTAGTGAAATAGGAAGGAACTCATCGATATCATCCGGGAAACACTTACTTGTTTTTATCTTTTGTGGGGATTGCTGTACAGAATAGCGTATAACAAAAGACAGGAAATTGGAATTGCATGGACCACATCTGCTCGTGAATTCTGGATTTGCTGAAGATTTCTTCTTCTCCCAATGGGAAATCCACTACTTGTGAAATCTATTGGCACTATATGTTTTTCAACTAGTTTTGGGATTCTGTAAGCAACTCCAAGCAATCATTGGATCTGAATTGTTTGTTTAGCATGTTTGGGCAAACACAAAACGCTGGTTCCACATCTCACATTCTGCACTTTGGTGATTCTCACTATGAGAAGGGCATTCGGGTATTATACATATATATATATATGTATAAGAATATCCCAATATAATATATATATATATTTATAGATGATTTAGAACATGGTGATGTTCATTGATTTTCCATATCTTAGTCTACCAGAGGGTATATCCCATTTATAGATATGTATAAATGAAACATTTGTATATCTATGGGATATACTGGGATATACTGTGATAAATATTTATAGATATTTATAGATATGTTTTTATATTATCCCAATCCTATTTCAAATAGACAAAGCGATGTCCTGATATTATCCCAGTTCTATATTTATAAATCTAGAATATGTCTATATGATATCCCATACTATCCCATAAAAATCACATTTATATATAGATATTTATGAATTATACCTATTATATTGGGATATTCATATATATATATATAGTATGTATATCCCATATTATCATTAGAAATAATGTATGCGAATCCATATTGTAAATTAACTATATCAAAATATCAATGAACCATATTATATCCGATATTATAGATAATTATCATTTTATAATATTATCATATTATCCATAATTGTAAAGATTATCATATTCATAGATATCAATCTAATCACATTTATCGATATATAATATTTATATTCCATATAAATCTCTTATAAATGGAGGTTTTAATGGGAAAATCATCTATAAATGGGCAATTTTCCATATGATATCCCAAATTATCCCATTAACAAAAACAGTTATAGATATTTATGAATTATCCCTTATTAATTATATATATATAATATGTATATCCCATATGATCATCATGAAGCATCTGTATCAACAACTCCCATCGTTCAACAAAGGAGGGCAGCCTACAAAGATGAATCCTCAGAGAAGGGCAAGGAGCCGATTTTTTTCGGCCTCCGAGAGCTGGGCTGAGTTAAAACCATAGGTTTTCACCATGGGAAAACCATAGGAACATGGTGAAGACCATAGGAAAAACCATAGGAAAATTGAGAAAAACATATTAAAATTCTGTATAGGTTGGTTTAGAAGTTCAATAACTATGGTTTATACATGATATATCTATAGTTAATGGGATTATAACTATATTGATAATATTGAAATACGATGAAGACATATATTTTCTGTATATTGAAACTGTGGATTATAAATACACTATTCCCTATGGATCCAAATACCTTGATATTCCATGAAAGATCATATTGATATTTCCATGATATCCTGGTAATAGTTCACTTTTCCATTGAATCCTCATGATTCATTTCACTATGTTTGCTGTTGCTTGTCCCATTTCGTTTACAAATCCACCAATTTCCTGTCTGTTCGGCTGGTGCCCCTTCTCCCCAGCGCCGGTGAACTCCTTCGAAGATGTTTGGTCCCCCAAAGCCAGCCCCAAAACCACCATTTCAGGTGCTTGAAGCTGTATCTGGTTGGTGGTTTGGAACATGTTTTATTTTTCCAGACTAGTGGGAATGATAATCCCAACGGACTTTCATATTTTTCAGAGGGGTTGAAACCACCTGGTTAGTATGACTTTTATGATTGAAACAAAGGATTGAAACTAGCAGGGCATAACTGTCAAAACCAAATAATTATAATTGATCAAATCCCAGATTTTAAAACTCAACAACAAATTTGAAACGTTTGATTGTAATCCCTGCAAGGTGGTGCCCCCGTTCGTTAAGTTGGCGACAATAACTCAAGTACTTTGTGGCTTTATGGTATATCTATAGCAGATATTAAGTTGGTGCCAATATCGCCAATAAATATGTATTATATATATAGGGGATAAGGATAGTTATTCCATCTCCATTAAGTATATATAGTTATTCTCAATATATCCATTTACGATTTCCATTAAATATGAGTTATCTATACTTAATGTGGGTTAGATATGGTTTATAAGTGGCTGAATCCTATGATTTATGGTAGATATACCATCTGGTTATTTAACATAGCCATGGAAAGATCCACCATTTTTTAAGTTCGGTAAACCATCTATTTCTATGGGCCATCAACAAACCATGGCTATGTTAAATAACCAGAGGATAACTATACCTTTCCTGGGGGTTTCGGTAAGATACACCACCCATCACCTGGCCATCACCTGGGCCTCTGATCAGCAGCTGTCAGGAGCTGAAAGCGAAATACGCCACGGAGGAAGATCTGGAAAAATCCATCAAGGAGTGACCCGATTTTTTCTGCTGGGATGGTCTTGTTTTCCTTTTTTTATCCACCCATTTTTCATGGGAAAACCATGGGAAAACCATGGGAAAATGGTGGTTTATATGGAAAGATCCACCCATTTTGAAAAAAACACATACTGGTAATAGTATATAATAATTGTTATTAATGGATGATTTCATGGATAATAATAATGGATATTACATAATACAATATAATCTGGTTGGTGGTTTGGAACATGGCTTTTATGACTTTCCAGACTATTGGGAAAGTCATCATCCCAACTGACCTTCATATTTTTCAGAGGGTAGGTATACCACCAACCAGAAATGATTGATGTTTGTTAGCTTTTGTTCCAAGAAAGGAAAATTGGGTGAATGATCAAGAATATCTATATTTAATAATATCTATATTTAATAATATCAATATCTATTTATAATAATCTCAATATCTATATATTTCTACATTTATTGTGTAATTAGATATCCCATGATGTGTCGATATTTTGCTTGCTTCGATTGTGATACCCTCCCCCACATTCAGATTGACCCTGGAAACTTCGCAAATTTCTTCATGGAAAGTCATCGTCCAAGCGTCTATTTGGCGTCGATGTTCGGGGAATGACGGGGGATGCTAACCTCTGGTTACTGAACATATGGAAAACGTGGGACTCTTGGGGGGCGAAATTTAAGATATTGCCCAAATGTCACAACATGTTACAACATGTTACAACAAGCGGCAACACTCAGAGAGACAGGGTGACATGCCATGAATTGTTGTCTTATATCATATATATATATACATGATTATATCACCTATATCTATATCTAATAATGTCAATATCTATTTCTATATCAATATCTATATGTTTCTATATCTATTTATATGTGTATCTGTATCAATATCTGTGTCTATGTAATTCTATATGCATATATTATTTGTGAAAGAGTGAAAAAAACATCAACAAAAGCTCAGGCTTTGCGGCTTAGTTTCATCAGTTTTGGAGAATTGTATTACATAATTACATATATTAAACTATAGTGTATGATCTATTCCATGGATAGTTCCAGTTTTGTTTACCTTCTGGTAATTTAACATAGCTATAGAAAATCACCAGTTGCAATAGGTAAACCATCTACAAATGGGCCATGTTCCATAGCGAACTGTTAGTTTACCAAAGGGCATGGGTTGTTGCAGGAGATGTACCAGAAAAAGTGGGATGCCTTGCTGGGCAAAGCCGCCAAGTGCCCACGCTGCTTCTTCGACATCGAGCTGGACGGTGAGAAGGTGCTTGGAGGGCCCCCCAGATGGGGAGTTACCAACAAGAAAATTGCGATTTATGGGGAATTTATGGGGATTTCAGGGAAATTATAGGGAGTTCAGGGAATTTGTAAGGGATTTAGTCGACTTTTAAGGGGATTCAATGGAATTTATAGGCTATCTAATGAGATTTTTCATGGGATTTCATGTTAAACTTTTAGGGGATTTATCGGAGATTTTAATGATGTCGGCTAAGTTGGTTTGTGACTACTATAGCTACAAGGTGGTGCCCCCGTTCGATAGCTAAGTTGGTGCCAATAACTCCAATAACTATGGTTTTTGTTGGTGATATATTGAACTAGTTAATTGGATTATCTAAGTTGGTTTATAACTTCAATAACTATGGTTTATGGTAGATATATCTATAGTTAATGGGATTATAAACCAACAAACATCACTGGGGGGCACCACCTTGTATGGTTTACGGTCATTATATCGAAGTAGTGTTGGATGGCTTTGGAATCCGACAAACTGCAGGATGGGGCCCCCAGTCGAGATCGCGTTCAGTTGCCTTAGAAGTGGTTTCACCATGGTTTTATAGTAGCTATAACTATAGTTACCATCTGGTAAACTAACGTAACTATGGAAAATCACCAGTTTTAATGGGTAAATCCACTATAAATGGCCATGTTCAATAGCTATGTTAGTTTACCAGAGGGTAATGGGGGTTTTGTTATGGTATATAAACCAACAAACATAACTGGTGGGCCCCATCCTGTGTCTGAAAATCATGGGAAAAACCCAAAAAGCCTCAATCCTGGTTGCTCATCATGTACTCATTGAAGCCATTAAAAGAAGTTGCTATCCTTCATGCTATCAGACACACATCCACATGCAAAACCTTGGTGGATTTCATTGGAAACGTTGGGGCAAGAGTTGGTCAAGATGATCCTGATTCATGGAGAGGATACAGGTACACTACGACACCCTTTGGTAAACTGACATAGCTATGAAACATCACAATTGTTAATAGGTAAATCGACTTCAAATGGCCATTTCAATAGCTGTGTTAAATTACGAGAGGGTAAGTGATTGTCTAGTGATTCGTGGTTCAAACAGATAATTTGAGAATGTCGGAAGTAAATCACCAGCAATCACTAGTTGTGTTGGGACACTTGAACTGTCCGATATTGTGACCTTGGGTTTGCTGTGACTATTGCAGGAGGCTTCTAACTAGAGGGTCGCGTTTTTCCCCCTAGTTGAAAGCTGATAAAGTTGACTTACTGTATAACCCCTATTGACTAGTTCGATATCTCTACCATAAATCCTAGTTAGCCTACTTCTAAACCAGCTTAGCTAACGAACTGGAGCACCACATTGTGGATATTGATAGATTGTAGACGGCGTTGGACGCCCCAAAAAATATTATGTGAAGTAAATCAGTACCCTCTGGTGAACTAACATAGCAATTGAAAATGGCCATTTATAGTGGATTTACCCATTAAAACTGGTGATTTTCCATAGTTACGTTAGTTCACCAGAGGGTAGTAAGAATAGCAGGAACCACCTTGAACCTAGGCAAACTGTGCCTTTTCTCCATTCCTCCCAGTGCCATGAAATTCCCATGGAAATCCCATCGTAAAATCAAAAAAAAAAAAACATGAAAATCCATTAGATCCCTATATCTAATGCATTGGGAAATTCTACAGGAAACCATGGTTTTTACCATTAAATATGGGGGTTTCCTGTAAATAGACATCTTTTTCCCTAGAAAAATCCGTATAAATCCATATGTTTCCCCTATAAATCCCATGTTTTTCCCTGTAAATCTCATGAATTTCACATCCGCCAGACCGGCCGCGTGATCATGATGCTCCGGGGCGACGTGGTGCCCAAGACGGCCGAGAACTTCCGGGCGCTCTGCACGGGAGAGAAGGGCTTCGGGTACAAGGCGCCGACCGCAACGGCGCAACGCCGCCAGCAGCGTGGGTTTAAAGGTCATTCCAATGGGAAAAGATGGGATGTAATAATGGGTTATTATTAGGATATAATGGGTTATTAATATGGAAAAATATATATATATATATAATATATATATATATTACTCATATGGGATGTATATATACCCAGATGCTCCATGTATGATATATTTACCTACAAAACTGGGTGATTTATATGTGTATATATATATATATGTACTAGGTCAATCTTAGATGGGTACAAACTAATCCCACATAGTCTTTTGGTATCAATGGGAATATCTACCAACCAGCAAAGAATTTAATTGTTTGCAGGGTATCTAAGATTGGCAATGTGTATATATATATATTACTCATTGGGATATAATAATGGGTTATTAATACCCCTTATATAACCCAAATCCCAATGGGAAAACTCCAGTTTCACTATGGTTTATAGGGGATATTATAATTATTGTATATCATTGTATGTAGTGGTATTTCAATTAATTTGAGGTAACCCCGGAAAATATGGGAAATTCATCTACACATGGATAGAAATTGGGAATTCCCTCATGTATCAATGATTATAATTATGTTTGTTGCTTTTTTGACCCCATGAACTACTCGTAGTTCGAGATGTCTACCATAAACCCAACACTTATTGGAGTTATTGGCAGAAACTTAGTTAAAAATCTGGGGCACCACCTTGCAGTTATTTGGCTTGGGATTGCCTGAAATCAATCTTCATATGATCATGTACATTTCTGAACATGCCATTTCCCAGATTGTCGAACATTTGCATGGTTTTGGTCTCCAGGTGGAGATAAGTCAAAGAAATACCGTTCCTTCACTGCTTCCAGTCCGCCAATACTCAACATGAAACCTTCAAAACCATGTGTTTTCTTAAGGTGATTGTTTGATGTTCCCAATCAAAAATCCACCATGTCTGGGGAAATCTTTTTGGGGCATCTCTGCATGTTTTTTTTTTGAAGCATCGAATCAGCAAATCCAAGTCAAAAATTGCCTATCTCGCAATGTAGATTGGGGAATGGTCAGATAGAGGCATTTGTGAAACTGGTTGGTGGTTTGGATCATGGTTTTTATGATTTTCCATTCAGTTGGGAATAGTAACCCCAACTGACGAACTCCATCATTTTTTCAGAGGGGTAGGTATACCACCAACCACTTTTGTTCACCCTTCCATATCTACCACAATTCCCAGATATATCACCTAAAAAAACCAAACAAAAGTCTATCTCAGGGGCCCCCCTCTTAATTTTTTGTTCTCCATGTTCTCATGAATTTTCATGATTCACATCAATGGATTGGTTTTGGTGGGAAAATCTTCACCGGAGACCATTGTTTTTTACCATTAAATATGGGGGTTTCCATGATTTATGATTAAATTTCCATATTTACTGGTAAAAACCCATTTACCATGATCATTAAATTTTCCCATCATCCAGTTCTATCATCACCCAGCCCCTGGAAATGTCATTGGATCCCTGTGAATACCTGTGAACCACGATGCCAGGAGAGCACCTTTCACCGAGTGATTCCAGACTTCATGTGCCAAGGCCGTCCCCTTAAAAACCAATGTAACCAGGCAGCTAGGGCTAGACCCTGGATGTTAAACTGGGATGAATTTGATGTTTTTTTGAAGAAATTTAAGTGATGTCATAACTAATGTTTTTTGTTGGGCAGACCCTGGCTGATGATAAACTGGGATGGAAAAAGAACTTTGTTGAAGATAAAGGTTTCCACCCGAGCCATTAGAATACCTTGTTGCTGGGTTCATATCGGATAGACATTAGACAAATTGATTTATTCATGTGCTATTGGGGATTATTTAAACCCTAAGAGGAATATGTACTAAGCTCGCAGTACAATGGGATAGAGGAGGTATTTTCCATGGCCAAATAGTGATGTCGTTTGCTCTTACAAGGTTGTGCCCCCCAGTTATAAGTTGGTTTATAAACCCCATTAACTAGTTCGATATATCTACCATAAACCATAGTTATTGAAGTTATAAACCAATTAGCTAACGAACTGGGGCACCACATTGTAAAAATGGTGTCTTCGCCAATGATCACAGCCGATGGCTCAATCTTGGCACTGCCTCAAAACCCCAGTCCGTCCCACTGCTCGATTGGGGTGAAACCAATTGAAGTCTCAGTGACCAAACATGAATGGAATACCCTCCAGTATAGAAACATAGCTATGAAAAATGAGCAATTTATAGATGATTTACCCAAAAAAATGGTGATTCTCCAGTTCGCTATGTAAACGTTTACCAGAGGGGAGACCATAATTTATGTCGGTGAAGCACTGGAATGTTGGTAGAACAAGAGGATCCACCATCCCCAGTGACTTACCATTTTTATGGGTGGATATGGGTGCTATAAACCATCAAATTTTCGCGAACAATACTGGTATCCCCATCGAACTAAGATGATATACCAACCCAAAATTCCAAAGCTATAAAGCTGGCATGGCTGAAACCCAACCCAACTTATCTGTGGTTTGAGTGCCTATTCCTACACGAGGTGGTCTCCCAGTCCGGAATTGCTCAGTTAGTTTATAACACTAACATTTCACTGTTGGGTTTATGGTAGATACCCTCTGGTAAAGTAACATAGCTATGGGAAATCACCATCTTTAATAGGTAAATCAACTATAAATGGGCAATGTTCAATAGCTATGTTAAACTACCAGAGGGTATATCCAATTAGTTTTCATGGTGGTTATAAACCCAAGAAAAAAAACTAGTTGGATATATCTACCACCGTTTCAATCCCATAATTAGTTGGTTATATCCCGCTAGTTGTAAGCCCACAAACGTAGCCATTGATATTATATTGGGGGAAATCCCAATTTATCCATTTGTAATGTATAGATGTGTTTTCTCATACATTTTCCCATTGGGCGTTACCTCATATTAACAATTGAAATAGAAATACCACTACATACAATGATATACAATAGATATATCCCCTATAAACCATAGTGAAGCTGGAGCTTTCCCATTGGGATTTGGGTCACATAGGGGGCATTAATAACCCATTATTATATCCCAATGAGTAATATACGGTAACAACATTTAGATATATAGATAGGGCCCAGGACGTAGTATAAAATACCAGTTCCTATATTTAAATGTAGCTACCGTATGTTTAAATGAATCGGATTCCGTATTTTTAAATGGCTGGGCGCGCCAAGGAAAACCTTGCCGGAGACAGTTTAAAATACCCGTATATTTTAAAATCCTTATATTTAAATGTAGTCATCTTATATATATATATACATATACATATATATATATATATATACACACATCAAACATATATATCTATATATAGTTGATTGTATATCCTAGTGGCTCGTCACAAGGTGGCGACTTCACCAATCACAACGGGACAGGCGGCGTTTTTTTCTCCGGTTTTGGATGGGATATGATGGGATGGGCCGTCAGGTTGGTTGGAACCATTCCGTTAATGGGTCAAAGGAAATCAACCAAATGGTTAATGGATGTTAATGGTCAATACTGGATAGAGTATATAATAATGGTTAATAGACTATATTGATTATATTGACGATCTTATATATGAGATCATCATTGATTATATATGATTATATATTACCTAGTGTATATTAATCGCCCCAGTCATAAGATGTCATAAGGAATAGTATACTGGTAATAGTATATAATAATGATGGTTAAATCATGGATAATAACGGATTATTTCATGGATAATATTAATGGATATTACATAATATGATATAATCTGGTTGGTGGTTTGGAACATGAATTTTGTTTTTTCCATATATTGGGAATAATGATCCCAACTGACTAATATTTTTCAGGGGGTTGAAACCACCAACCAGTCATTGACGATCTTGACGGAAATTTGGGTGATTTGCCAGGGTTCCGGCAGGAAGCTTTACATATTTTACATGCAGATATTTTACGGTATTGAAATGAATATAGACAAGAGACAGATATGGAGTAATATAGATGCTGTAGACATTATTAAACGTATATCTAATTTAACAATTGCAAGTCTGAATCCATGTGTACCATTGTAGAAATGAGTGAAGATCTTGATTTTGGAGGTCCCGAAGTCCCCCCAAAATACGAGGCCCTTTTTGCGTTTGAGTCAACTCTTAGAGTTTCTTGGATGTTTCTGAATATACTTCAAAACAGTTCCACATTGGTTTGGGGGGTTTACCAGTTTACCACTACATTTCTGAAATCATTTCTACCCTTTGGGTATTTAACATAGCCATGGAAGCCATGGCCCATTGAAATAGATGATTTTCCCAGCTAGAAACCTCCATTTATGGTTGGGATTTTCCATGGCAAACTGCTAGTCATAACCAGATGGTTAAATAATATGTATACCCATCACCAGGATTTATGGGGTATAACTCGGTAACTATTCCAGCACCATGGTTCGCATATGGGTATGATTATCCCAATTTGCTATGTTAGTCATAACCAGATGGTACTTTTTGACTTTGCCTCGTGCTCTATGGCTCCATGATGGCCATTTTGACTGCAGGTGGCAAGTCCATCTATGGTGAGAAGTTTGAAGATGATCCTCGGTAAAACATAAGCATCCCCAACCGTGCATGGGTAGTTTATATATTCCTGTTGTTGTTTTCGCTTTAAAGGGAAAACACCCAATACCTATAACCAGAAACGTTTTTTTGCGAACTATTAAAGATTGACCATGTCAGCTGCAGGTTGGAAAAAAACTACCCAAGGAAGCGTCATTTTGCAGATGATGATGGTTGGATATCCATTACAGAATTCTTACATCATGATGTTGAAGACACGTGTACAACAGGCATTTTTCATGGGGAAGAACGGGGATGAATATGATAAACCGAATGGGTTGTGGGCCTAATTCTTGGGGAAAACCATATGAGTTAAAATTTGGTACCCTATTGATTATTGGTCCATTAAAACACCAATTTATAGGGGATTTCCGATTGCCATGCTTGACATATTCGTGTTTCAGAAAGTTGATAGAACATGTACATGTATTAAACCCAATCTGCCTTTTGTCGCAGCTCAATGGCATTTCACGCTCCTACCAGCCTTGGTGCAGCATATGTCGCTCCATTTTTGCCCAGCGTTCAGATTGGTGGCAAACCAAGAACCATCATGATCCATTTCTTTTGTGATTTCTAGGTCAATCTTAGATGGGTACAAACTAGTCCTTTAGTCTTTTGGTATCAATGGGAATATCCACTAACCAGCGAAGAATTTGTCATTTTTTGCAGGGTATCTAAGATTGGCCATGATTTTCCCCTTTCAACAATGTCAACCCCGGATGAATAAACCATGGTTTATTAATTAGGGTGGTACTCCTCCAATAGTCATGATTTGATACTTAAAAAATACCCCCCTAAGACTTAAAAAATACCCCCCTAATTAAACAGCCTAGGGGGTTATTAATCCAGGGCTGACATTATATACCAACCAGTTAGCCATTTATAGTGGATTTACCCAGAAAAAATAGAGATTTTCCATAGCTATGTAAACGTTTACCAGGCCGGGTATTTTCCCATCATGGGGAAAACATATGTTAGGAATATCCCCTTTCAATAATCCCATGAGTTGGTTAAATCATATAGTCGAATAGCCGTGTCTTGGTTAAATCGTCACGACTTTATAATCAGAACACAATCATTTAACAATCACTCAAAAGCAACATTTACAATATATATATATATGCAAAAGTCATGACAATTATCACTGTATACATTTAATATATTATGTACATTTAATATACTAATAATCATAATATATATATATATATCATAATATACAAAATAATATATATATATATACCAACTAACAATCGCTCATTAATAATCATTAGATAGTCACTATACAGTGACTATACATATATATATATATACACGTCAACTAATAGTCACGAATTATATAAATCATTTACAAATCAACTAGACTATATTTATATAATAATAATAGATATATACACATACCAACTACTAAATCATTGTTTAACGAATATATACATATGATATTAAATACATACACTTACCAATGATCAACTATATATATTTGGTTGGTGGTTTCAAACATTTTTCATTTCCCATAATATATAGGATAATCCTTCCCATTGACTAATATTTTTCAAGATGGTTAAAACCACCAACCAGATATATCATGATTATATATTTACCATTTATAAGCATAGGGCCATAGGGATTACATCCCAACCAGACTTAGTTTAGCCATTTTAACCATCATTAACCATATATAATAACCATCATCATTAACCATCATCATTAACCATCATTAACCATCGGTTGAATCATTGCTTGACGCCCAGGAAGGCTTTCAACTGGAGCACACGGGTCCTGGCATTCTCTCCATGGCCAATGCCGGGCCCAACACCAACGGATCCCAGTTCTTCCTGTGCCCCTTGGTTGTTTTAACGTAGCCATGGTATAGATGGCCCATTTACAGCTGGTTTACCTATGAAAAATGGTGATGTTCCATGGCTATGTTAAATAACCAGATGGTATTTAAAAAAAATGAAACATAGTGGTATAACATGAGATAACCAAGAAAAAACATAGGAATTTATAGTAAAATGAAGAAGAACATACTGGTTGGTTAGTACCCAAGAAGCCAGTTAGTATGCTTAGATGGCCATGGGGATTAGTTGTTAGTGCCTGAGTGAAAATCCTTCCTTTGGCCAGAAAAAAAAAAAAACTGTTACTAACCACTTAACAAAAAAAATCCAGGGCCCAGAACTCAGTATAACTCAGTATAACTCAGTATAACTCAGTATAACCAAGAACATTCTGGGATTTTAATATAAGGTGATTTATAAAAATATACGGCGATTCTGCAGCTGATTTATGGCCGTTTTTGGGGGGAAGGACATCCACAGGCAGCGGAAGATTTCCCATGACGCGATGGAGGCCGGCCACGAGAGCTTTCAGTTGGTGCGTTTATAACTCCAATAACTATGGTTTATGGTAGATATATCTAACTAATGGGTTATAAACCCACCTATAAGTTGGTTTATGTTCACCCCATGAATACTAGTTCAATATATCTAGCAAATAACGAACTAGCTACTCCCCCAAGATAGCTAAGTTGGTGCGTTTATAACTCCAATAACTAATTTCACTATGGTTTATGGTACTTTTTTGACTATAGTTACTGGGGTGAATCTAAATCAACTTATAACTGGGTGGCCTCACATTGTAGGTGATTTAAGATTCGAAGTCGGAAACTGACTTTCCATCTTGATACATTGTTTAAAATGGAGGATTCAACCTTAAGAAATGAGGGAGATATAATCGACTGGATAGAAACTATAAATCTCACAACAGTGGTAGACCTCACAGGAAATGCTGGCGAATGTGGGGACGCACTGGAAAAACACAGGCTGGACCCAGTGGAATGTTGGTACATTAACTTTAAACCCAAAAATGAGTAGTTCGATATATCCCCTACAGGCTGGTAAAAATAAACCCCATGAACTATAATGTCAACCCTGGATTAATAAATCCCGTTAACGGCGGTGACTATTTGGGGGGTACCATAAAAATGTATCATATTGTGACTATTTGGAGGCTACCCCCACGATTTGTGTCAGCCATGGTTTATGAATCCGGAGTTGACATTAGTTATATCTCCCATAAACAAACTCGTGAAATATTTGAGTCTGATTTGCACATCCACTCGCGATGTCGGCCACGGGGTCCCCACAATCAGCATTGTCCCACGGCCGAGATCGAGATCATCTGGAAATCAGACGGGTTGCCTTTCATTGATAGTGGGTTTATGAAAACCATAGGGACTTCTACTAATCACCAATCCTATGGGTTATCATAATCCCTATCATATCCCTTTTTTCGTGCGTTGTTTGTGTTTCCTTGATTTTTGCAGGAGGCCTTAGTTTTCTTGCGCAAGTAAGGAGTGCTTTAGCTGAGATTTCTGGATCCATCTGGATCATGTACAAAGTGCGCCCATTGAAGCTGTTCGTGTCAACGAAGCCTAAGTGGATGGCCAACGGATAGGTCATATGGGATTATCCATGGGATTATAATCATGGATCATCCCATTTACAGATTAATCAGGGATAAGGATGGATTGTCCATGGGATTATCCGATTATATCATGGGATGATCCTCCCTATCATGGATTTAACCCCATCTGTAAATGGGATAAGTGCTTATCAGGGCTTAAATCATGGATCATCTACAGATGGGGTTTAACCGATTATATCCCCAGTTCCTAACCACTAGCGATGATCCTCCAGAATGGTTGGTTGTACCGAAGGCGACTGATAACACTGGTACAACTAAAATATGACCCATGAAGGACGGAGGTGCAAAGCATGTCAGATAGCCAGCATTTCTTTATTAAGGTCAACTAGGGTTTGTGGCTAATATATGTTTAGTTAAATGGGATTGAATAGGTTTACAAACGAACAGACCAACCGTTTAGGGGCCCTCTTTGCAACACCTCTACCAATAACATATGCCAATAGAATTCAATGTAAGTGAGTCCAGAACTACGATACCTCTGGGTAACTCGGGTATACGACGGCAGCATCCAAATTTCACATTGTTGGTCTATAACTCTATCAAACATCAAATAAACATTCACCCAATATACCAACAAAAATGGCCCCTGTTACTGGTAAACAAAACATATCATTGATATAATTCACCACATCATCCAAAATAACGGCGATAAATCAACCATGTATAATTTAGATTTACAAATATATAAACGATAATAATATATATATATATATAAACATACATATATTATATACTGGTTGGTGGTTTGGAACATAAATTTCATTTTTCCATATATTGGGAATAATCACCCCAACTGACTTTCATATTTTCAGAGGGGTAGGTATACCACCAACCACTATACATATATGATTGTGTGTGTTTTTTCTGATAGGGTATCCCTAAATCCATTGGTGAAAAATCAGCATTCTTCATATGGCCAGAAATGGAGGTAGACCCCATTCTCAGACAGACCCAAACTGACCCAAATCACATTAAGTTGGTAATGTAATCCATTCTATCCCAGGTAAATCCAAGTAAATCTTCCTATTTTTCTCAGATCCATATTTATATATATTTATATGTACATATACATATATCTATTATATATCTATCTATACAT